TTGAATCCGAATCGTACCAGTTCTAAATCCCATATATATATATTTTGGATCTGGATCTAGGTGGATTCGGACCCAATCCGAAAATTCTCACCCCTAGGGTTTAGGTCAACACAAACCCAACCCCGCACATTCTCGGCCCTACCCCTAGGTCTTAGTGGAATTTGTTTAACCCCAAATATGGCAGACACGTATTTTCAGTCCTGGCCACGAAGACCATGAAAAAATTTCATTAAAAATAAATAAATACATGTGGTTATTTATTTTAAGAAAGAGCAAATGCAACAAATAGAGGTGTTCTTTAGGAAAGACAGAATAACTTTAGATGGAGGCACTAAGGGATTTTTACTCCAAGAATTGTAGATTTCCAGCATAGGTGGCAACTGGGCCTGGTTTGGACCTAAATATTGAACACGGCGGTTCATGTCAAGGTCTGGGTCGGGGTATCTGGTTCCACCAAGTCAAGTCCGATTCAAGGTCTAATCCCCTCAATCCAATTCAATATTTATATATAACATATTTACCAAAATTTATATATAACATATAATATTAGTATATGCAACGTTATTTATGTTTCTTTTCTCTAAGTCGTACCCAACCCGACCCGGGTCCATGTTGGATGTGGGTCCTAGCTAGGACCCAATCGGGTCGGGTCAACGGAAAGTCCTAGAGAACGAGGACCAAGAAACCCCATGCATCGGTGGTTTTGAGTAAAAAAGCACCCTTAAGTCATGTCAAGAATGAACGGGCCTGTCAGCTTTGGGTTTACTTTTTGGTGTTACAGGTTGAAAAATGAGAGACGCCAAAGCGGGAGTTTTTTTTTTTTCTTTTTTCTTGCAGAAAGACAGTAATGGTTTCATGCAGAGAGAAAGAGTAATAATGGCCATGGCTTTTTGGGTTTTCGAGGCAGAGAAAGAGAGAGAGAGATGGCTTCACCTGGTGAGTTACATGCAAATGAGGCGGCCGCCTTTCCTAACCCTCCGCCTCCGCCTCGGCCTCCGCCTCCGCCTCCGCCTCCATGCATATTAGAAAGAAAGGGTGGGACCTCAGACTTTTAGAAAGAGAAAGAGCCCTACCTCTTTATCTCTCTGCGTCAACGTAGAGAGAGATATGCTACGTACTTAGAATAGAAAGAGGAAGAGTTACTACGTACTTGGAATAGAAAAGAGAGTTAGAGAGAGAAAGTCGAGCGATATTCACATTCGGATTCCTTAAAAAAACACACCCATTATGTGAGTGGATAAACGAATGTGTGTGTTTTTTTATTGAAAATTTGTTTTATGCGGGCTAGACCGCATGACTATATATGCGATCCAAAAAAAAATGTAAAACATCCATCTTCAAAGATGGATGCGCAGGTGATTCATCTAAAAACAATGAAAACTATGTGTCCAAATGTTTTCTAACTAAAGTTATTATTTTTAGTTTTCAAATTTTACTCAATTTTCATATTCATGATCTCTATTCATGATAGAGATTATATGTTCTTAAAAATTAAATCAAAAAATTCATCTAAAAAATAAGCCCTCATATCTACATATGCCGCCTTGGCTGAAACCGGGTTCTTTTTTATTCTAATTCCTCTTTCTCTCTAATACTATTCCTTTCTCTCTCTCTTATCGATGTTTTGTGCTTCTTTCTCTCTCATACCATCTTATTCTTCATTCTCTCTCTAACCTTTCTCTCACATCATGCTGTTTTTTCATCCTCTCTTATTACCTCTCTCTCTCTCTAACCTTTCTCTCACATCATGCTATTTTTCATCCTCTCTTTCCACCTTCTCGGCAACTTCCAACAAACAAAACATGGAGGGCATTTGTTTTTAGGAAACGGTAGCGTGTTCCAGCAGCAATACCAAATATGGTCATTGTTTGTTTACTGTCAAAGTGCCTTTTAGTGAGATAAAATATAAAAAATTTATAATTATAAAATGGGTGTGGTTTTTATAAGGTTGCAACTTTATCATATAATTTTAGTAAAAAAAACTCTTAGTATTATCTTAAAATCTATTTTTATATCTAATTATAAAATTTTAAAATTCAAAAATAGTTAAAATCAAGTAGATATATGAAACTATTGAAAATCGACGGTCTAGATAATGTATTGCAAGATGCACTATTTTTGGGACTCTTTTTTTTTTTTCATATTCATACATCTTGATGTCGAGATGATCAATTAGAGGTTTTTTCAACATTAAAACAACCCTTTCCGATGGAGTTTTGAGGCCAATCTGTAATTTTACATTTTAAGGTTGCAACCATATATAATCTTTTTTCTTATAATATACACAAGAGATTATTTATTTAATATTTTAGTTATGGATATGTATATAATGTGAACATTTATTTTTCATATAATGAGGTCACAATTATCATTGCCAGTTAGACTTTAAATCGAATGGTTAAAACTGCGTCATTATTTAGGTACAAAATCCAAGATAACATTTTTCAAATATTGTAGCGTATTTTCATTTATTGGATTTCACATTCAATAGCCAAAAGTAATCGTGACCTCTTTATACCAAACATAAAGATTTCAAAATACCCATCGAAATATACAAGGTCGTGATTTGGAATAGCTGAGAGAGGGTAAACTGTTAAATTAGTGAAAACTTAGGTGCATTGTGATCAATTAAAGGAAAGAGTTTAAATAAAGTTACAACCTTAAAATGTACCTAAAAAAGCATCATAAAGAGGAAAACATAAAGATTTCAAAATACCCAGAAATATATAAGGTCGTGATTTGGAATAGTTGAGATAGGGTAAACTGTTAAATTAGTGAAAACTTAGGTGCATTGTGATCAATTAAAGGAAAAAGTTTAAATAAGGTTGTACAATTAAAAAATAGAATTAAAAGATACCTAAAAAAACATCACAAAAAGGTATTTTGATGTCATAAAACCCTCTAATCAATTATCTCGACATCAAGATATATGAATATGAAAAAAAAAAAAAAAAAATTCAAATAACAAATATAATATATCTTTCAACACATTATCTGGAGTCTGATCGAGATCATACACTTAAAAACAACCTTGTGCAACATTATGGTTGAAGCTCCCTACCATCATTTTAAAGCGAATGGAACGATTAGGAATAATAGTTGCATATGTTTTATATGTGAACGGCGCCATATAGAAATGTTTTCCATAGTAGATAACTTATATGTAGATTGGTTGAACTACTTTTTTTGGGTAATTCAGTCGAGAAGATATGCCCCTATCCGTTTTTTTCAAGTAGATTAGAAATTAGCTTTTTAAAAGTATTTGTGATGTGATGTTAATGGTGGGAATAAAAACTACAACATAGTGACTAAAGTGTGGGGGTGCTGCCTCCGCAACTTCAACCCCTTTCCCAAAGGTGTTAGTGGCGTAGTGTTAACTGGAATGGGACTTCTCGAACTAGTTCAATGCATTTTTGTGCATAAAACGGACCATGGCAGCAATCCGATGTACTCCCAAGGGTTTGATAAAGTCGTGTTAGTGGTCATGCTTCATTTTACATTGTGTGGTTTGCAATAAGGAATCAACATTAAATAATCGTAATGAGGCACACCTACAAACTCTAGATGCAGCTTCATATAGTGGTCTGCAGATCTGTATCCACCATTAATTATGAAATTTAAAGTTTTAAAAATAATGTGAATTGTGTTTATCTTTTAAACATAAAACAATGTGAATTGTGTTTATCTTTTAAACATTTTTGAAAATAGACCGTCGATATAATGTATTTTATATCAATACATCTCAAGGTCGAGATGATCAATTTGAGGATATTTCAATGCCAAAACAACTTTATCCAATGGATTTTTGAGGTATGCCGTACTTTTAATCAATTTTTCTCGATCTGCACTAATTTTGGAGCTTAAATATTATAATTAGGGATAGAGGATTTTGAAGCCATTGTAAAATATTTCGATACCAAAATTGCTTTTTTTTTTTACAATGTTTGGAGGTGAGGTGGGTACCTCACACAAATCTGACCTTGTAATGAATTGTAATATTAATTTTTATAATTAGGGATAAAGGATTTTGAAGCCATTGTAAAATATTTCGATACCAAAATTGCTTTTTTTTTTTTTTAATGTTTGGAGGTGAGGTGGGTACCTTACACAAACCGCTATAATGAATTATACTACAATAGTAAATACAATAACTTATATTTTATTTGTGGGTGTGGTTATACAAGGTTGCAACCTCAATCTTGAAAATGGACGATCCACATAATGTGTCTGCCAGCTGGAGGGCTATCCATTCGTGTAAAGGCTTTATATATCGTGATATTCGGTGGTGTGTGGGTAATGACTGCAATATCTCCTTTTGGCATCATAAATGGTTGGAAGACTGCCCATTGAAATTAAGTTTTCCTTTGATTTATCATTTGATGACTTATCTAGAAGCCACTGTTGCCGAGCTTTTTATTCGCAAGGGTAGTAATGTCTAGTGGAATATTACTCTGCCTTATAATAGGGTTTATGATTTGATTTTCTCTCAGTTTGCTAATCTTCATAGACTATTGAAGGATGTTTATATCCCGTATAATGCTTCTAATTAGGTAGATTTAATTGAATAAATCTCATTTTTGTCAATCTCCCAAACTATGTATCATTTAGTCTACCATGATAGGGTGCGATGGTCGATGCCTGAAATAGCTATCTTGTGAAAATAACCCCTACTTCTCAAAGTGCAAAGTTTTCTTTTGTTGGCGGTTCAAAACAGAGTTCTTACGGTTGATAATGTAATTAAGAGAGGAAAAATTTTACCGAATATATGTCTCATGTGCAAAGAAAATGAGAGACTGGTGATCATCTCTTTCTCCATGTTTGAAGGTATCTCTTTGCCGGTTGGAAAAATTTTGGCGAAAATCTTGCCTTCCATCTGATTGTACCTCTCTGTTATGAGTTGTGAACATAAAATTTCTGAAGTGGATGTAAAAAGTTATCTAATTAACCTTTTCCATTTGGGTTTCCAAAAGTATAGGCCCAATGGCATGAATGGTCCCACATTTGGGGGTTTATAAACTCAATTTTGATGGTAGCTCATTGGATAACCCGAATCTTGCTAGTTTTGGAGGGGTTCTTCGAGATTGAATGGGTAATGTGATCTTCTCCTATGCAAGGCCACTTGGGGTGCGGACTACGAATTATGCCGAGATCTTTGCCCTTCTCTTTGACCTTCGTTCCCTTGTGGAGGAATTCGAGGACTTTTTACATTATTGAAGGAGATTCCCTCAATATTGTGAAATGGTGGGATCAGATTTTGAATCTCGCCTCCTCTTTTTTGTCTTTTTGTTCATATGTATAGAGAGGCTAATGTGCTTACTGATTCCTTGGCCAAAAGAGGTTAAAGTTCTACCCTATCTGAAGCAGTTATTTTGGATTTTGTAATATCGTTCTAGATTAATAATATCTTTGAACTTTCTCTCAAAAATTTTTGTTTCGTTTTCTATTTTTCATATTCATATATCTCGACAATTAGAGGGTTTTCCAACTTCGAAACAACCATTTACAATGAATTTATTAGTTGCATCCTAATTCTACATTTTAAAGTTGCAACCCTATAAGAATTTTTTCCTTTATTTATAGTAAATGATTATGTGTTTAGCTATACCAACTTTTTAGTTTGAAGTTATAAAATGATTATGTGTTTAGCTATACCAACTTTTTAGTTTGAAGTTATAAAAACCATCATTGTACCTCACAACGTGTTTTGTCGTGAGGTTTTAGACCTCAAAAATTAACTTTGAATCTTAAAAGTCCACAATCACATTTTATCGGATTTTCAAGAGCCAACATGAGAGCAAATCCCCCTTGGCATTTCATTTTCCTCTTGCTCAAAAGAAACTACGCCCCCATATCCTCCCATTTACAGAAGCCCTTGCTTAGATTACATACCCCTCTTCACTTATTGTTCCTTTCTTCTCCATTCACCTAAAGAAGACAAGGAAGCCAAGTCCTCCTGCATTATCGCCTTATTCTCTTGCTCAAAATGATCAAATTTGCTATTGGGTGCGGTTTGTATAAAACTGAGGCTCTAAACAATCAAATTAGAGTGCACCTTCAAATAGTGTCAAGAAATGCGGTTTCAATACTGGAAATCTTTGTTTAGAGCCTCAGCTCTATATAAATTTTTTCCATCTGTATTTTAGGAGAAAAAAAGAGAAGCCCAAACATCAGTAAAATCTGTGTATAACCAAGCCTCCCGCTGTTTTGGGCCCTCCTAATTCATCCAAAACTAGAGTAAAATTGGAGATTTTACGAGTTTTGCACTATTAGCAAACCAGATATTTTTGAAGTTTTCATCTAAGGAAGTTTAAGGTTTTCAGAGTATACCTCTGAGGCGGAGGGTTCTGTTTTCTCTGCAAATATCTGTAGCTTCAGGATACCCCTTTTCATCGCGAAGCACTGGATGAGAGGGGAAACAAACTGCCTGGTTTTGGAGCAAGGGAGGTAGAGTTCAGCAGCTTCACACGGGTGGAGTCCTCTGTAGCATTTTAGAGTGTGTCAGTTTACCACTTCCTGTCTGCTTTGGGCTGTTGTGCTCCCCTGCATCTCACCAATCCAGAAAGAAATTCATTCAGGAACGAGAGAGATTGCCTGCCCTTTTGTCCAATAAAACCATGCATTTCCATGTCCTCTTGCCCCCAACACTACCAATTTTCCGAGACTTGCTTGACTTGCTTTAGACTCGGGAATCGCCTGAGTCCTTTCAAGAACCGATTGGTTTAGTACAGTAACTGAGTAGTCCAATTCAACTCGGGGTAATTACCTCCTTCAGACCATCTGGAACCAGGGAATTATGTTAAGAGCACAATGAACTATAGAAAGAAAAGTTTGCTGTGGTATATACCAAATTCAGACAACCCCAGGATTACCTCTCTCCATCACCATCAATATTTTTATCAGAAAAGGATGATCCCAACAGATCATATTTTCCTATAGTATGTTATTCGGCAGTGTATTGTACCATATACTTTCCTCAATGATTTCTCTATCCATAAATTCGCAAATAGTGAATCAGTCACAACTGCTCTATGTACATTTGACAAATCCAAAATTTCCATTCAACTCAATCCGAAGTAATGAACACTTCCTTTTTCTGCTAGGCAGATGCTTTCAGTGAACACCTCTTTCTCTCTACATTGAAAATCATTCACAAATCTAGCTTTAAACTGAAAAGAGAAAATGGAAAAAGAAAGACAAACATAACTATCAAACAACAGACTGCATTATCTAGCTTCTAATGGAGGTTTATCTGCAGATATGGATCCTCAAATTGCCGAGTGGTAATAATTCAATCAGCAACTGCATTGACATTCTGATCCTTTTCTTTCTCTAAACTCCTTTGCAAAAAACTCAACTGCTCAACATAGACAAGGTCCTCCATGTGATTCACCTGTGCCCGTTCTCTTTCTAACTGCAACTCCAGTTCCTCAAAATGCTTAATTTTACGATGAATCTCCTTCATCTATATTCAAAGAAACAGTACAATCAATTGTCAAGACAAACCATTTCTCTCTCTCTCTAGATAACCAAGACAAATCCATATACTCTCTATAGATTAACTGACGAAAGGTACAAATCATGCCATTCTCGTAAGACTTAAAGAGTTGTGATATCCAGGGGAAGCCTTAAAAACTGAGGCAAAGGAAGATAGGAACATATAATACAAAACTCGTGATATCCAGGGGAAGCCTTAAAAACTGAGGCACAGGAAGATAGGAACATATAATACAAAACTTATTGTTATTCAAGTATGAAAATTCGAAAGGGAAGTTTTTCAAATTGAGAATTGCTCATGTTAATACTGCAGCCTTCTGAGTATGGATATTTAAAGATCATCGCCCCATATTTGCGATAGAACTAGCATGTGGAGCATTTTCTGATTTTGCCCCTCCTCCAGAAAACCTTTTTCTTAAAAATTCCTCATTTTCAACATACAATCACCAATATCTTATTTTCTTTATTTTGGAAAAAAACCAATCCAACACATTGGTATTTGTACACCAATGTCATAGATCATAACATAGGAATAGTAGAAGATTATTTAGAAAAATGATATTTTAATCAGGACTCATACATTGGATCATGATTCATGAAAAAGATGTGGCAAAAGTTTTGTGCTGGCTGCCAACCTAACACAGCCCTCTGCTTTTCTCAGGGCTTGGGACCAGCCATGGCAGAGTTAAGATTGATATTTTAATAGGTAATTGACAAAAACAGTGGAGGGCAAAATCGGAAGTAGTCGTACCCCTTGACATAGGTATGGATTGAGAAGGGTGCAGGATTAAAATCACCATATCATTAGAGTAATCTGCTGAAAAGCCCTAATTTAAAAGGGGAAATATTCTCTACTTGGTACAAGCTTATTGTTGGGTACTTAGACCCCACATCCACCATCCCTATTTATCTATGAATGGTGGGAGAGGAGTTGTTCGCTTTTAAGGTTATCCCTGTTTAAGAGGGAGCAGTAACTCGACTCTACCATGGGCTGTGGATGTCGGGCATGAATAACCAATTTTATACTCGTCAGGAGCAGTATATGGTCCTTAACTAAAATCCTACTATGGTAAATATAGGGGAAAGAATGCGGCATTGTTCTTGAAAAATATATTCAAGATAGAGTAGCAGTGGGAAATTTGGCTATGCATGGAAAGCATAAATTGGTGCTCTTTTTGGAGATAGTTTTCCTAATCTGCAGAGCAACCACCGACACAGTCCCTACATCTATGATAGAAACATGCATAAAGGGATGAGGGAGAGAGAGAGAGAGAGATGGATTACACACCAATGTACAGTTCATTTATCTAGTAATGAAACCATATATTAGATAAGCTAAAATAAATCCCCATGAAAGTGGAGGTCACCTGAACATCCACGATGCTGGCTATAGACTGCTCTACACTTTGCTCCTCTTCATCTAGCTTGGCACGAGCCTCTGCAACTATGGATTCAAGATCGGGCAGACTGTCATTGGCGGCAGCTCCTACAAAAACGAGAGATTTTCATCATCAGAGATCAATCATGGGACCTGCAATGTTGGTATTTGATCCACGTGAGGGAAGAAACAGACATCGCTGCATAAAACCAATGCTTCCTACATATTTAAAATGTAGCATCTTGGTTATTCTATTTACAATATAAAACTAGACACAAAAGAAAAGATAAAAAGCCAAGCTGCTTCCTTAAGGTCTTCAGAATATCAATCAACTTTCCCTCCCTGCCTCCTCTGTGCCTGAGTAGTTGGTCATGCTGTTCACATCACCCTGGCTAACCTTTATGCATCCACCTCTCCAACTTTTCTAATCTTGTCCCTCCGTCCCTTCTCCCTCCCACCACCAACCCCCGCCCACCCAACCACCCACACACACGCACACACACACACACACACACACAGAAGAGAGAGAGAGAGAGAGAGAGAGAGAGAGAGAGAGAGAGAGAGAGAGAGAGAGAGAGAGAGAGAGAGAGAGAGAGAGAGAGTAGAGAGAGAGTAGTAGTAGTAGTAGTAGTAGTAGTAGTAGTAGTAGTAGTAGTAGTAGTAGTAGTAGTACGTAGTACGTACGTAGTAGTACGTAGTA